TCTCACCACCATTATAGTTTCAGTAGAAGTAAATATTTCCATTTACTGTTATAGCGCCGATATAAGGATTTATCTCTAATTGGATAATGAGATAGATAGAACGATAGATGTTACCGACATGAAATTTCTATTGGTTCAGAATAGACACCAAACACATGGCTAAACACCGATTGGATCAGGCGCTAATGGACTCGGCATACAGGAGTGTCACACATAAATCGAGCAGAAGTTTGCAAACTACTCCTTCCAAGCTTATGCTATGAAACAAGCGCGTACAATTTTTGAAATGTAAAAGCCTAGGACTACAAAAAAGTATAAGTCATTTGGTGGGATAAAATTTAAGGGGCAAGGCGTTGCGACACCTTAAAGTTGAGGCTGTCGAAAGATTTGATGACTAATTTTTACTGTAAAGGAGTTTTAAATTTTTGTTAAGAATTGTTTGCAGAGAACATTTTGCATATCTTCTTAGATGTCAAGTTTCCATAAAAGTGATTAATTGCAAAAAAATTTCGCAAAATTAATCTTACTCAAAAATCTCAAAAAATGTGCTTATATATCATAATCATAGAAAATAATATATAATTTAGCTTAATTAAGTGAAAATGTTGCTATTTTTGAAGGTAATTAATCATTTCCCATGATTTAGGTTGACTTTCTTTTTGTTTTTAATTATCATTAAAGGAATATTTACAGTGACACCGTTAATCTTGTTTTAATTTTTATAAGATATCAATTCTTTTTTTGTGGGGGGGGGGGTGGTTTAAAATTTTTTTAAAAATTCTAATCATTTTCTTTGCCACAAACTCTTTATATGTGCAACCCGATGTCGAGGACTTTAGAAAGGAATTGAGTTTTTGCCACAAACTCTGATTTTCTAATCTCTATATCTTTATAACCCAATGTCGTAGACCTTAGATATTTCAAACCATCAATACTTATAGATAAAATAATCTAAGTTTGAAATATCAAAGGTTTGCACTATCAGATTGCAAAGATATTGGGATCAGAAGATTTGAGTTTGAGGCAAAAACTCAATTCCTTTACAAACTTTGAATCAAAAAATCTAAATTTGAAGTATCAAAGGTTTACACCATCAGGTTGCAAAGATATAGGGAGTAGACAATTTAGGAATGTTGCAAAGACTTAATTCCTTTCTAAAAAATATTTTTCCTAATAAAAGTTTGTTTTGATAAGATGACCTCAATCAAACTCTGACAAAAAATTATACAATCAAGACGAGTTTTCAAATAAATTTTTTGTTTTCTTTTTTCTTTTTCGTTAGGCCTTTTCAAGTTGAGCTCTTCAAAGCCAAAAAGTTTTAAAATTTTTTTTTTGAATATATAGTTTTACTAAAGAAAAAAGAAAAATATGCAAAATTATGCACAAATAGGCGACATTGATCATTACTCATTACATTACATATTTATCATTTCAGTTATTACGTAATCATCGAATCCTTCAACATTTAAATTATTCGTTCTTGTATTTAAATTTCTTGTAAAACCCGAACTTTCCATGCATGGTCCAATGGGACATCAAAATATTTCATTTGTTCTTAACTAACATTTTACTAAGATCAGAAAGAATCATTTGCAAATGGAAAATAAATTTCTGCCAAGAACTGTGTTAAGGTCATTTTTGCATAAATTAGAAAGAAATCTAGAAATATAATGCAAAGCTTATAAAAGTGGTATGCCTTATTTCACAACTACCCCTTTAATCTGATTAACAATGAAGATGTTATGGTAGTTTGCCTGCTCTGAAAATATATAAGTTCTCTATCCCTTGTCTTCCTTTGCCTTTGCTGCCAAATTCAGTGAGATAAAAACTGCAAATCCAAATAATCAATTTTTAGGAAGAAAACTAAAGATACCATAGTGAGTCTAACATGCCTCTCTCTTTTTATAGGACCATGGAGGTTCACTGGAAATTACTTCATTCTGAGTCCGAATTTAATGAATTTAAGCCGCGTCTTAAATCCACCAAAAACCGGAACCAACCATATTTGAGCCGCGGTTTAAATTCTGTAAATTCGGCCACAGGTTTTACGTTTATTAAAAGTTAATAGAGACATGGAATTAAATTCAAAGTAGTACAAGATTACATATTAGAAATTGCATGGCTCGAAATTGATATTAAAGATTTTAAAAAGACACGATTTTTTCACCCTCTTTATTTAAAACATTTTTGTTTTTAATTTTGTTTTATTTCCGCAGATTAAATTTTAATTTGCTTTAAACATTTGATGAGAAACAAATAATTTGATTCGACATATGGTTAACAACTAATTATTATCCACAGGGGGTCAAGTATTTAGAGATATACATGTGTCCACAGGGGGTCAAATTATTCAAGTATTAAAATGTATACATGTGGTCCAAATTTACATATTATTACAGTACTTTTAGATTTTTTAAAGTCATAGCTATTATCTTAAATAAAATTTAAAAAATGTTCTGGCACTTCATAACCTTTTGGGAATTATTTTTTATTTTTCTTGGTTACAAATAAACCCTTAAACTCTACTTTGGGGGGTCTCAGTACATGTGTTTCAAATAAATGATTCTATTTATTCATATTAATCCTAAAATTAATATTTTATAAATATTTTTATAAACTTTTATAGCCTCGAAATAACGTTTTAATTAGCAGTGCAATTGTTTCGATTACTAATTCGATGAAAAAGCATAAAAATAAAAAATAATACCTATCTATATATATATTTATCTGAATGGTATACCTATATAAAAGTAATTAGAAGGGTCCCGGGTCAGTATAGGAAAATTAATATCAAGTTTTGGACAGATGATTTCCTCTTTTTTATATCTCTATTTATCTATCTATCTGTCTATCTATCTATCTATCTATCTATCTATCTATCTATCTATCTATCTCTATACCTATATATCTATTTATCTATCTATCTGAATGATTGACAGTTTAATTTGTATCTGGACAGGGTCTGGATGTTCATTATTATATCGGACATGATAAACCTAAAACCAAACTTGAAAACTAAAAACAACAGAAACAATCAAAATATTTAAAAACAACGGATTAGGAAACAATGAAGGTCATCACAAAATAAGCCCAAATATTTTATAAATGAATGGTTGAATTAAAGGCTAAAAACGGTTTTAATACATTTCTTATACCCTCATTCATTATACCACCCCAGGTGTAATTAAGAAATAGGGGGAGGGGGGGGGGAACTCAAACACAAAATTTCATCCTTAACATTGTTTTTTTTGGAAATATTTGAAAAGAAGAACATAACAGTTTTTTTAGTTTTTAATTTAAATATTCTATATGAAAACTAGGCTTTTAGGTCGCTTCGCGCCCATCTTCTTTTTCGACTTTTAATTGTTTAATTGTTACAGTGAGCATTTTCTTTTTGTACAATATAATAAAAGTACGCAGATTTAACAATATTTTTTATGGATATTCAAAATTTTACAGAAATAAAAAATGTGTGATGACAAATTTAGCATCAGATGAGGATATATATAGATAGATTATAGATAGATATATAGATAGACATATAGATAGACATATAGATAGATATATAGATAAATAGCTATATTGATAGCTATATAGATAGATATATAGATAGATGTATAGATAGATATATAGATAGATATAAAGATAGATATATAGATAGATATATATATAGATTTATATATAGATAGATATATAGATAAATATATAAATAGATATAAAAATAGATATGAAGATAGAAAGATAAGAATATAAATATTCAAAATAGATTTGAAGTTTTATTTTAGATAGAAAGATAGATAGATATAACGAAAGGTAGAGAGAATGATGTCAAGATATACTTCTGTATAGTAGTAGATAGTTTCAATACAGATTACTGGAACACAATATAATTCATACCTTTTAATTGTCGGATACTTGAATTCTACATAATCAATGCTAGCTTTAAAATTCGCTGATAGTGATGGAATAAACCTCTGTAGAGTAAAAAAGTAGATGTTGGTTCCCCATTTATTTAAAATATATTTCGGTCTGAGTTGACCCTCGTCAGTTCTTGAGATTGAAGATTAAAAACAAATGCTAGCTTCATAAATAGGGTTGAAAGGGTAACATTATAAATCGGAACAGCCACTCAACACTTGGACAATTCTTTTAATTAATCTCTTATTTCAGACACTTTTTAAACAAAATATCAATTAGATTTATTTATTATTTTAACTTTAAAAAACATATTTCAGTTGCCGACGTTTCCTCCGTAGTGTTCGGGGGCCACGATTTTATGTTTGAGATATAATTAATATTATTAAACTGTACGAAATTATCAGTTTTACTAAACTTCATAGATCGACTACATTCTACTTTATCTGATCATTTATCTATCTATCTATCTATTTATCTGTATATCTATCTATCTGTATATCTATTTTATCTGTATATCTATTTTATCTGTATATCTATCTATCTATCTATCTATTTATCTGTATATCTATGTATCCATCTATGCAAACCTTTTACGAGCGTTTTAATTCGAATAACAGTTTTAACTTTAAATTATCTATATATATCCCTCTATCCATCAATTAATCAATCTATTTATCTATTTATCTTTCTATCTATCTATCTACCTGGTGTTAACTAAGATGTTCAGGAAACTAGAGGTAGACTCCCTACTGTTTGATACAGGATATAGAGGTAGGGGGGATATCAGATACAGGATACTAGATAGATGGATAGATAGATAGATAGATAGATAGATAGATAGATAGATAGATAGATAGGTAGATAGATAAATAGATAGATAGATAGATAGATAGATAGATAGATAGATAGATAGATAGATAGATAGATAGATAGATAGATAGATAGATAGATAGATAGATAGATAGATAGATAGATAGATAGATAGATAGATAGATAGATAGATAGATAGATAGATAGATAGATAGATAGATAGATAGATAGATAGATAAAAAGATTGACAAATGGTCGGGTTTGATCTAAAATCATTTTCAAATTCCCGATAGATTTTTATTAAGCGCTGGTTCGTTTATCAAATTAAACAAATTAAAGAATGGAGGCAACATCATATTGATTCTTTGATCAGTTATTCACTGGAGGATCAATCATCTCTTCAACATCATCAATAGCTGCAGAATCTTCCAGAGTGGATTCATGTTCAGGAATCTCAATACTATCAATACCATCATCGTGATCATCATTGGGCTGCTCTTCGATGGTATCATTGTCATCAGCGCTAAGTCCAACTTCAACCATTTCGAGCGGATCCTGCAGATTTTCAAACATTTTTCTTTAAAATATATTTTGATATCGACCCTGTTGCCGACTTGCCAAGGCATCGTTTCTTTTTAATCACATAAAAAGACACATTTACAAGAATTATTTACTTATTACAAAATTTAAATTTTATCCCAATTTATATGAATAAACAGCTTAGAACTAATTTTTTCACCTATTTAAATACGTCTAAAATTATATTTGAAATCTTATGACAAATAGTCTTTATATCTTATATTGAAAAATTCCCATTGGCGAGCCTTTTAGATCCTTGCGAATGTGAAAGGTGAAATTTTTTATTTTAGAAATAAAATGATTCCTTGGCATAATCTTCTTCATCTATCTCGTCTGGATCATCATATTCGATAACTTAAATAAAATGTTAAATATAATCCATTTTTTAAAACAAAACAAAAAAAATAAAGGGTGTCTCTGAAAAAAATATATTTTGTATTGTTCGCGGTCATTAAAATGGAGCCAATAAATAAGGAATGTTTAGGAATCCTAAGAATCAAATTACAACCATTTAAAAACCTTTTTCAGTGACACCCTGTAATGCATTACTTGTATATCCAGGGCTAGACTCGTCCAGGCTGTCAGTGCTTATTTCATCATCACCTTCCCTATATTAATTAGTAAAGGAACTGCTCACGTTATTTCAATTAAATCCCAATTTAAAAAAGAAGGTCATGATCGATTCACAATGGTACCCTGAAAATCCTTTGTCGAAGCAATATTGATGAATATATTATTTCTTTTCTATTTGATAATTTAAAAATAGATAGTTTCCAATTGCTGGTTCTCTATAAATGATATTTGCGGAATTATGGTGTCTAGACAAAGTAGCAATTGTCAGAATTAAACAATTTACAGAGATGCGATACTTCCCTTTTGCTTCTCAGAACAAGGTTTCAAAGGTTATGTTGTGAATTTGGCATGCACATGTTGGCAATCTCATTTCTTCATATTTTTGAAAAAAAAATGAAAGAAAAAATGTTTCAGTTTTAAGTGAACAATCGTCAGTTTGGGCCAAGTAAAATCAGGAAGGGAAGCATTTGATTTCATAAATAACAAATCTTCGAAAATCTAAATCCTTGGTTTTGCGAATATCCAAGCGCGCGAGATATAAATTCTATAATTCTTATTAATAACCCATCATTGCCCAGGTTACTCCCGCCATTTACCCGCACTTAGTCTAAAATTACGAGTTTAGCTATTTATCTTATATAAAAGTCGACCCACTTAACTTAATCTCAAAACCAAGCTAAGAAAAGGTCCGTGGTTCTCCCGAGTTCCCCAACCAAAACATACATTACAATTTATGAATATACATATTTAGATAATTACCGTTCATAATTATAAGATTTGATCCATTCATTATCACTCATACCTTCCTCATCACATAACTCCGTCTGATACATTAAAGGGATCGTTTTATTGTACAGGGTGAGTAAAAAAACAGGATTATCCATGTTTTGGACAACATTTTTTATTCTAGTTTTGTTCGGAAAAAAATAAAATTTTATAAATTCAAAATATTTTGGAAACATTGAGAAAAAAAATACAACAAACCCAAATTTTTTAAAACAATATTTTTTTTTAATTAATGGGAAAATGTTTTTTTGTTTGTATTTGAAATTTCATGAGAATTCATCAAAAATGTGAGCAAATTATTTGCTTTTTTTAAGTCATAACGGTTCCAAGGTTCTATATCATTTATTTCAGATGTCCACTCAAAATACTTGCGGATTTTTTGTAAATTAACCCAAAAATCCAAAAATAATTTGACAGCCTATCCAAAATATGTTTAGAGGTCAAAACTTGTATGTGAAAACACAATTGATCTGGATATCCAATGTGGGCATTTGAGAATCGATGCTTGATCCTTCAAACAATGACATTCCTCGAAGGTATGTCCACCACTGTCCGTAGATCTGCATAAGATGGAGATCAATTCGTAATCCCGAGATTCACGTAGCATATGTGCGTCACGAAGCGTACTCATTTTTTAACTTTTTTTACCTTGATCATCATTTTCTTATTAAGTTTCCTATTCCTGGTCTGGATAACTTCCTTCTTCATTGCAATCGGTCTGGGCGTCTGAAAAAAAATACATTTTAAAAAAGTGGAATTGTTAGTTTTTGCTTCTTTGCAAGGAGGTTGAGATACTAATTTTTGTGAAGAGTTTTTAAAAAAACCTGAGATTTCATAGACGACCTTAAGAGAAATATTTGCTTTTCGAGAGAGAAAAATCCCAAATGATTTCTTTGCATGCAAAGATGGCAAAACCCGACTCACAACGGTACTCTGAAAACTTTGTATGATCAAGTATGAATTAGATATTCTTGCTTATATCATTGAAAACTGATTATTTTCTATCGTGGTTTCTCTACAAAAGTGACTTGCACATTTGCACTGCAGAAAAGCTTAAAGGATTGTTTAGAATTAAACACTTTTAAATCTAAAAAATAACTTCTACATCATGTGACACTTTCGGAATAAAATTGATCAAATGCATAAATAAAAATACACAGTCACTATCTTAAACTGGCAATGCAAATACACTTTTTTCTTTATATTTTATTCTTAGATCAGACATTTTTTATATATTTCTTTCTAAGATTAGACATTTTTTATATATTTCTTTCTAAGATTAGACATTTTCTATATATTTCATTCTAAGATCAGACATTTTCTATATATTACATTCTAAGAGACATTTTTTATATATTTCTTTCTAAGATTAGACATTTTTTATATATTTCTTTCTAAGATTAGACATTTTCTATATATTTCATTCTAAGATCAGACATTTTCTATATATTACATTCTAAGATCTGATATTTTCTTTATGTTTCATTCTAAGATCAGACATTTTCTTAATGTTTCATTCTAAGATCAGACATTTTCTTTATATTTTATTCTAAGATCAGACATTTTCTTTATGTTTCATTCTAAGATCAGACATTTTCTATGTTCTAAAAACTTCACTCTAAGATCAGACATTTTCTATTTTCTAAAAAATTCTCTCTAAGATCAGACATTTCAATATATTTCATTCTAAGATCAGCCATTTTCTGTATGTTTCATTCTAAGATCATACATTTTCTATATATTTCATTTTAAGATCAGACATTTTCTATATATTTAATTGTAAGATCAGAAAATTTCTATATATTTCATTCTAAGATCAGACATTTTTTATATATTTCATTTTAAGATAAAACATTTTCTATATATTTCATTGTAAGATCAGATTTTTTATATATATTTTTCATTCTAAAATCAGACATTTTCTAAATATTTCATTCTAAGATCAGACATTTTCTATTCGTCTAAACATTAAAGAGAAAATGAAGGGTCACTTTAGATGATTACATTTTCTCTAAAAAACACAAAATATACCAGAGGATAAACTAGTTATTACGTAAAAGTATCTTTGAGGAACAAAAAAAAAATACTAGGACAAACTCGAAATTACGTAACAGTCCCTTTAAGAACCATAAAATTTATCGGATGATAAACTGAAATTTACCTAACAGTCCCATTAAAAAAATTTAATTTATCAGAAGATAACCTTGAAATTACTAGATAGTTTGAATTTATCAGATGAAAAACTAAATAAAAGAAATTTCAAATAAAACCTTGTGAAGCTTGTGATAAAGCCCGCAGGCATTGCAAACAGTGTCGCCATCCTAAAAGGATAAAAATGAATAAACAAAATTCTAAACAATGTACATCAAAGAAGGCTTAAAGTTTTAGTATGCCTAGCGATTAACATTTACTTTTAGTTTCTCTATGGGAACTGATATCATTAAGATTTACCATACAGATCTGGAAAAAGAGGATTTGCCACAAACTCTAATTTTCTAATCACTTTATCTGTGCAACCTTTGATATTTCAAACTGAGATTTTTTCCTATTGCAAAATTCTTAGTTTGTAATATCTGAGGTCTAAGACATTGGGTTGCAAATATATTGGGCTTAGAAGATCAGAGCTTGTGTCAAAGATTCAATTATTTTTGGTGAAAATTTAAATAAAGTTAAAAAATTAAAGAATCCTTTTATGCAAAACAGAGTCAGGCATTTTTAATCGCATTGAAGTTAAGTTTGGATTAAAACTTGTTTATAATGATATTTCATTATAAGGTTTGCTATGGGTTTTAAATGTATCAACACCTTCTTAGGGTTTTAAACGAAACGTGATTTTACTTGCTCGCAATTAATTGCAATCCCTGTCATTCCGCGCAATTCCCCGCAATTACGCACAATTACGCCAAAAAATTAAGTTTTGCCCTTTTCTTGGTCCAAATTACAAAATTTTGCCACAAGGTAAAAGTCCAAAACAAGAATTAATTCCAGAAAGTAATGAGATTAACTTTTTAGAAGCGACTTAACTCATTGTCTTCATTAAATATTTCCCAGCTGACCTGTGTTCGTCTCCATAAACTTGTCTGTCTTGTTGAACAGTTTGCACAAGATATCCCCTCCCGTCGAGCTGTGCTCTAAAAAAACTTTTTTTTATAGTTTTTTTGCACAATTGTTGAGCATTGTACAGAAAAACTATATTTCCTAGAAAAATGTATTTCCAAATCTTAACCAAAAAAATTCGAATGAAAAAGAAAGAATGGGGTTTGGGACATTGACAATTTTGTAATTACCCCGACCGAGGAGCTAGATGAAAATAATTTTTAAATAGTTTTATTCCCGAGTTACATAATTTACGAAAAAGAACTTTTTAATTATGAAAAATGTAGGTAGTGATGTATGTATCCCGTGAAACAGTGGAATAAGAAGATGCCATTTAAGCAATCTTCTCTGAATGTTATGCTGGCTTAAAGTAAAAAGCAACAATTATTAAAATAAATAAGTACACTGAAGTGTTTATGTTATTGGACTATTGAAAATTAAAACAGTCGTCTTCCTTTTCCACAGTTTTTTGGTTCTCAGTTTATATTTCTTTTTCATTAAAGACCCATTCTGAAACTTTTTAATCTAATATTCTCTTGATAAATTACCACGCGTGAATTTTTTGGTTTGATGAGAGGCCTTGAAGTTCCGTTCATCTTGAAATATAATCCACAAGCATTACACAGGTAGTTACCAACCCCGTCCCTTCTCCATAGAGGGGTAGAGGTCGCTGTAATAAAATAATATTAATGGGACTGTAAGTGTAATTATAAGTAAGCTTCCATTTAAAAAGGGAAATCTCTTAAAAGGTTTAAAATTGGAGTGTGTCTAGGTCACCTTCATTTCCCCCTCTCCCCATTCCCCTTATCCCCCCCCCCATCCTCATTTCTAATCTCAATAAAACAAATAACCTTGAATCTACGAATCAAGATTTGTTTATCAATAATTTCTTATCTCTATCTATATATCTATCTATTTATCTTTCTGTCTATCTATCTATCTATCTATAATTTTTGATCTATTTATCTATCTGTTTATCTATCTATCATATCTGTAATTTTTGATCTATCTATCTATCTATCCATTTCTATGACCTGTACAATTAACACACTCTCTGCCAGGTTTACAGTTGTATTTAGGGGTCTGATTAATATCTCCCTCGAATGCATCATCTCCAAGATTTACTTGCTCAATGGTTACTGGGATTTCAGATGAGTCGGTAGCTTCATCAGGAGGAGAAGGTGCCAGGGGATATCTGGGGAATAGGGAGGATAGGGAAGGGAAAATGGGAGGGGGAAATGTTCCTCTGAATGGAAGGTGGAGGGGTGGTAAAAACATCTTATCTGAATTAAATAAAAAGTATTAATTTTAATAAAAGTCAAAAATTGAATACAAAATTTTACATTTTGCATTCAAACTTTAGACTTTATCCTTTTTTGTCCAATTAAAGATTAATGAAAGATTAATTAAAAATTAATGAAAAATTAATTAAAGATTAATTGAAGATTAAATGAAGATTAATGAAAGATTAATGAACGATTAATTAAAGATTAATGAAAGATTAATTAAAGATTAACAAATTATTAATGAAAGATTAATTAAAGATTAATTAAAGATTAATAAAAATTAATTATAGTTGACATGTTTTTATTTCTTTACAGTTTAAGTCTAGAGTTTATCTAACTGCAATTAGTTTTAATTTATTATCATCGGTTTAAAAACCAGCGTGTTTACTATATACAGGGTTACCAACAAAGAATAAGATTTAAAGACGACTTTACGAAAAAACTATGCTTAATCTTCATAGACAAATTTTTCAGTTTCAGGCTATCTTTAAGATTGCATTCTTTCTGAATATCCATGTATTTCCTAATGCAGTTCTACATGAAAAAAAAAAAAATTGGGGGCATTATAATAGCGCAATTACCTCCAAACTTACGAATGAGCTCTATTTGAAGTAGGGTTCGTTGAATCTCTAGATATCTTCCATCTTGAAACCGGTCTTGAACCTAGCAAAAATTTGTATTATATATTATTTTTCAATATTTTAATTTTTTAAGAATGTTTCCATTCATTAAATTTGATGATATAGTAATATCATAATTGTTGAAAAGTATTTTATGTCTATAATACACCTTAAAATAGGAAATAAAGGAAATGCGTATTTGCCAGAAACTTTGATTTTATAATCCATATATTTTTGCAACCCAATGTCATAGACCTTAGATATTTCAAACTATGGACTCTGTTAGATTATAATCTAGTTTAAAATATCAAAGGTTTAAATCATCAGGTTGCAAAGATTCAAGGGATTAGAAAATCACATCATTTTTTTGAGAATGATAAGTTAGATTTCATGATACAGGGTTTCCAGGAAAAGATTAAAGTTTAAAGACAACATGAAACTTAATGAATATGATGATTGAAGATCTAATCTGTTCCTTTCCCTTGAAAATGGTTGTTTAGGTGTAATATACTTTTGCCAGATAAAGAAATAAAACTAAGTTTCGCTAAGAAGCTGCTGGAAGACTTTAAAAGATTGTATACAATTATTCAAGGTCCCATTCTACTGGAAAAGTAATTAATAATCTGATTAAAAACATTCTAAACTTTTCATTTTGATATCTTACTCTCATTATAATTATAAATTTAAATAAAAACTTTTTCAAAGTAAGCAAAATACAAAATTTTAAATCTCGTGAAAACACTAAAACAAATCTACTCACTTTTGATTGAGGAATTTGAACCCCGTTTATATTCATTTTCACTTCCTAAACATTATACAAATAATAAGATAAGTTCCGTTGTAACATTTAATCCCTTGATATCGTTACAATCCCAGACATAAATCCAAGGGAAATCAAGATCAATCGTTGTCCCCCATCATTTGAGGGTTAATACAAGACTTCACTTTCATTCCCAGTACTAGTTCATAACACACCCAAACCTCTCTCCTTATGTATAATATCTATCTCTCAAGGTCTTGAATAAGTGGGTGGTTTAACATGACACATTTTATTGGTACAAATATATCTGTTAATATCTATTTATATTAAATCATATTCCATATATTTGTGGAGTCCCTCAGCGGTAAAACAAGCCTCCATTGACTCTTATATGAGGGAGAGTCCCTCAGCAGTTAAGCAAGTCTCCACTAACTCTTATATATGAAGAGTCCCTCAGCGGTTAAGCAAGTCTCCACTAACTCTTATATATGAAGAGTCCCTCAGCGGTTAAGCAAGTCTCCATCCTAGCTCTCCACGAATCTGCCCCTGATCTCTAGAACCTGGGAGTCTGTGGGTAGTTGAACCAGCTGTATATAGGTGAGACTACATTTCTCTGATTCTCTTGTCTGTTCTGTAGCTCTAGTGATCTTCTGAGTCTCCAGTGTTTCTAATCATAGAAACACCAGGAATGTCAGAGTGTGTGGGTAGTTGGACTAGCTGTGTTGAGGTAGAACCACACATCTCTGATACTACTGTAAACTTGAGATATCTATCTCATCAATGGTTTATTGTATTCCTGAAGATATGATCATGTAAGATATAATCGTGTAAGTCCACATGTTGTAATCCTTCTGAGAGCTGTCCATGAAGTGCCCGTCCCCTAGCCTTTGGTTGAACAAACGGAGCTTAACTCATACGTCTGTTCGGTTCAAAGGTCTAGGGTGCACTGATCAATCTTAATGAATCCGTTCAGGTTAATTCTTCTGCATTGTTGAAAGAACAAAGACATGAAGGTGTGAGGCCAGGGGGGGTTTTCTTGCCATGAGTCATCCATACTTTAAATATTACACCGTTAACAAAAATTACGCCTTAAACGTAAATAACTGTTAAATTAGTAAACTTGGTTAACTTTTACTTTGGCAATTGTACTTTTTAGGAAAGCTGCAACAGGACAATAGGAGTGTGGTGTACATATAGATTCAGCCTGCTTGTAAAAAGTTTCATCAATTTTAAAAAGTCGCAACGTCTTGGGATTTGATTTACCGCCCTAACTCAACTATGCTTTACTGTAGTTTTTTACATATAATCTTATTGTTAGCTTGTAATTGACAAAATTCTCATAGATTTTTGCTTGAGAGCTTGAGCCCTTTAAATCACTGTGGGTAACATAGTCTTGGTTTAAAATAAAAAAAATGAGAGTATTTTGAAATTGGTGAACAATCCCTTTAAAGGGAATGTTAGCGTAATTTTAAGTGACCCTTCATGGAAAGATGATAATCCCTATTTACAAGTTTTCTAGGCAAGATTGTACAGTTGTACAATTTACAGTTTCTTCTATTTAAATGAAATCGCGTTCTTGTTCTATAACTCAACAATACTTTTTAAGAGTTGTTTTTCAATAATTTTTCATTTTAAATGCATTTAATGACCAAAAAAGTATTTAAGAGAAAACTTCCTGTTCTTGCTTTTGAAAAACTGTTTTGATTTGCATGGCTTTCCTGCAAAAGTGGTTGTGACTTTTTGATCAGATTCAGCTTTTAAGGGTTCTGTTGTGAATCGGGCATTGCCATCTTTGCATGGAGGGTCACTGAAACTAGGGTGCATTTTTGTATATTACCTTTTTGTATGGTTTAGTTCTAATCTGTATGGTAAGCTCGTCGGCTGGTTCCGTCTCAGACATTTTGCAAGATCTGAACAAATTAAAATATAAATTTCAAAACAAGGATAATTGTAAATGAGTAAAATTCGTAATATGGACCATCAGCATGTTTCCCAGCAATTTCAGGATTGGACAGGAATTGATTTTAGACAGAAAAAGGGGGAAATTATTTTTTTCCTAAAAATTGGAGATTGTTTGGGGTGAAGGGGGGGGAGGGTATGAATTAAACTAGATTATCATATTTCATCTGTTCGGTGTAAACTGACACTAGATTTAGATTCAAGAGATACTCCCGTAAAATTAGATCATTTATGCAAAATTAAAATAAACAATTCTAATTGTAGAAAACTCTTAGAAAAAATGACCATTGTTGTTTTATATTTTCGTCCTGTAATCATTTAGTTTATATTTTCGTCCTGTAATCATTTAGTCTATATTTTCGTCCTGTAATCATACAAAGTTTATATTATCGTCCTGTAATCACACAAAGTTTATATTTTCGTCCTGTACTCATACAAAGTTTATGGTATCGTCCTGTAATCATACAAAAGTTTATATTTTTGTCCTGTAATCAAACAAAGTTTATATTTTCGTCCTGTAATCATACAAAGTTTGTATTTTCTTCCTGTAATCATACAAAGTTTATATTTTCGTCCTGAAATCATAAAAAGTTTGTATTTTCTTTCTGTAATCATACAAAGTTTATATTTTCGTCCTGTAATCATACAAAGTTTGTATTTTCTTCCTGTAATCATACAAAGTTTTTATTTTCGTCCTGTAATCCTACAAAGTTTTTATTTTGTATCCCGCCCACACAAAAATTCCTATTGTAGTGTAATTAAAGGAATTATGTATTTGCCACAAACTCTTATTTTCCTATCCCTATATCTTTTTAACCCAATGTAGAAGACCTTAGATATTTCAAACTATGAATTCTGTCGGATCAAATAATATTAGTTTTAAATATCATAGGTTTACATTATCAGGTTTCAAAGATATAGGGATAAGTACATTTGAGTTTGTGGCAAAAAATCAATACCTTTGTTTATTTTTTTTTTAATAAACAGATTCACAAAAATATGCAAAATTATGCAAAAATAGGCGACATTGATTGTTTCATTATATAACATATCTTTCATTTCATTCTCGAATCCTTTAACCTTTGTTTTTAATTTTTCAATTTAATTCTATGCTAGCTCAAATACCCGTTGGCATATCAACTCTAAACTGGGTAGCCTGACCGGACAGTACGACTAACTACATATACAGTACGTATTTTTTCCGCCACGGATCATGCAAATTTTAGACTGGGGTGCCCAGCGTTGGCCGTGGTTTTACAAATCGTTCAATATTTGACGTAAAATAACCTTAATCTGAGGGATAAGCCACCTTTGTTTCCCAGGGCAAATGTAAAAAAAAATGTTTTCCAAGTATTAAATTTTTTAGATATTACGGTTTGATGTCATTTTTAATGAAGTGTTTTGGTTTTAAAAAGCACTTTTTTCCTTTTTTAATGTAGCAATTATAAATGAATAATAAAAGAATTTTTACTATGGCAGATGAGAGATAGAATGCTTTCCGTAGACTGGAGTGCTGTTACTTATCCAAAATAAGAGTATTATATCATATAAGTTGTATTCTCTTGTTTGTTTGTCTGATCATAACTCAGAAACATCTTGATTGGGGAACTCGGGATAACCACGGGAACGTTTATAGCTTGGCTTTAGATTCTATGTTGAGAGAGTCAACTTTTTAGGAAAAAATAGCTAAAATCGTAATTTACAACCAAGCGCGAGAAAACGGCGGGAGTAGCCCGAGTACCCTGGGTAACGCAATATGTTCTCAAGTTATAGTTATCAAAGGGACTGTAAAGGAAAAATGAAAGGGGGTATAGGATGAAACCTGAGAATCTCAGGCGTTGAACGATGCATATAAGACATCTATCTGATGATGTTCCTGTCTCGAGAAATTGATATATGTTACATCCTATACCCCCTTTCATTTTTCCTTTACAGTCCCTTTAACATTTTGAAATAGATTTAAGAGTCACTTTAATAATTTAATTTTATGCACAAGATTTGAGAATACCAAACTTATCCGATTAGAAACTCAAGAATTCATTATAATATGAGGTGTTACATAGGATTTCAATCTTAAGTGCAATTTCTTTAGTTTGGCGTGGATAGCGCTAAAACTTGGACAAGCCCACATAGATTCAGTCTCATCGATTTTTAAGACAGGGTTGACTTTGAAGTGTCGCAACGCCCTAAGTTTAGATTTTACCACTCTAACTCACAAATGCTTTTCTGTAGCCCTTTACATGTACATTTTAGCACTGTAAAGCACTTGTTGTTAGCTTTTTTAGAAGTAATTGGCAAAATTCTCAACGATTTAAGTTTAAGAGCGTGAGACCATTAATTCACAGTGAGCCTGGTATTCCTTGAAATGCATCACAAATATTCACATATGTACACCCAATCTTTGTTTAAAATGTCGCTTGTTTACCCTATACAGGCATAAATGCATACATATACCTTGAATCAATGCTTTATTACTGATGCCTGAACACTGATAAGAAGAAATACAGGGTGTTTCTTGATAAACATAGATTAAAAGGTGTTAATTGATAAACATTATAGATTATAGATAAATACAGGGTGTTTATTAATAAACATAGATCATAGATATATACAGGGTGTTTATTGATAAACATAGATTATAGATAAATACAGAGTGTTTATTGATAAACATAGATTATAGGTATATACAAACTACGATCTGTTGCATAAGTTCGCAATTCAATTTTACTGAAAAACCAGAAAGTAAACTATCAATTTTACGAATAAAAAATTTTAAAAATATCTTTATCATTTTTGTTTATATGTTTAAAGGGTACCGTTATCAATCGAGCATATCCATAATTTTTTTGAAAGCCAATTGAATTACTTCAACTGTCCGTTTATAGCGCTAAATCAAAATCAAAAGTTCATTGACAAAGGCTCAGCTGTATCCCTCTGGGTAACAAAGCGGGGGGTAGTGTATACTGCAAGATAGTGACTGTTTTATGATATTTTATCAAGCAGTCATGTTTGTTCTCCTTCGTTATTTATTCATATTTATCTGATAACAAGGGACTGTAGATAGATAGATACAAAGATAAAAAATAGAACTGAATTAAATGAAAAATTAAAACAATTTTTTCTTGAGTCATTCCCACGTTAAACAAAACAATATTGAAATCTTGTATGGTTTTAATCATCACTTATCTTATTGAGGAGCTTTTGAAAATAAGAGAAATGTTTTGAATTTCTTAAACCGGATATCGGATACGTACATCTCATTTTCTTATACTTGTGCGTGAAATCAAAACTACAGGAACTACGAGGTCACAATGTCGTACCAGTAATATCGCATAAATTTTGTTTTATCCTTCTGTTTAGTATGCAGTGTTGCATATTTAAAATTAGAAATACAAAACTTACTATTTTTTCATTTTGTTTGAATTAAAATAAATAGTGAGCGGATTGCACTATATTTTTACCAGATTTTTTCTAGAAAATTAGGAAAAATATTAAATCCAAAAATTGTCACTCCATGGGATTTACCGGGACTAAAAATAAAGGCTTTCTAATATTACATTAAATTATATATACAAAGTTGACGTTCCAGGGCCCAAAAGGTTATATAGCAAAAATGTGTGAAGTACACCTGCAGTATGGGAACAGTACAACAAGATGATCCTTTTACACTTTTTTCGAGTAAATTCCACTCTATGTATAATCTACTCTCTTTGTATATATATATATTTATTTATCTATTTTACTTAATCTAAAAATATTTTGCGAATTTGAAATATATCCTATTTGTCCCAAATATTTATTCGTTTTTTCTGTTTGTTTATATCCAATAAACTTTTAAACGGCTGAACCGATTGGGCCCAATTTTTAGGGAACTCAACATTTGCCCAGGGAAGTTAAAAATTTATCTTGAAAAAAAGTAAAATTTTACGAATTTAAACAGGAAAATCTGGGAACATTCCTAGAAATATATATATAGAGAGATCAAATATATATTTAAACTAGGTATAGCTCTAGAAATAGAATACTTGACTGAAAACTGATTAATTGTAGATAGGTAGATAGGTAGATAGGTATCTAGGGATGACACACTGTGCTTCGCAAAGATTTACGACCGTACCAAGACATAATTCTTCCAAACAATGCACAGTGGTTCAAACACTGACTTTAGTAGATTACTGCGCACAATGGTCTTAAAACTGACTTTAATAATAAGCACAGTGGTTTAAACACTGACTTTAGTATAGCACTAAACACAGAGATTCAAGAACACTAAGCACTGTGGTGTAAACACTGACATTAAAGCTAAGCCCAAAGTGGGTCAAACACAGACTATATCCCTCTTCTTTAGACTTAGTGTAGTATATTGGTTAGAATTATATCAAGAGTTTAGTATTCAATGGTTGTACAAAGCAGAAAAGTTTAGGAATATTGAGAATAATAAGAATTGCGACCAGAAATTGAATTTTTACATAATTTTATATACACATTTAAACAAACAAAAAATAAGTTAAGGCGGGTAAAATTTATGAAAATAATGTGGCGTTATTCAGTATTTATTTTGCAGTTATTCAGCGTATTGTTATTTAGTCTCTTTGCATTGTTTAACTCCATAATATTTTAACAATTCCTCTTCTTCAACTTTTAATTTAAGTTTTTGCTAAAATTTGTAAAAACTAAATTTGTATTTAAGGAATTCTGAAAATGTGCAAATTCTCTTTTAAGGCGTCTGTGCAAAAATGTATGCAAAATTTATTCGCAAAAATTGTGCATTCTGCTTTGTTTTGTTCAAGGCTTTCCAAAGAGCTATAAAAAGTCGAAATCCAATAATGGGAAATAGGTCCAAATATAGATTTAGTCGGGTAAAGGTAAAATAAGACATTCAGGCAGTATGCCTGAGGACTCATGTTTGATAATGCATGTTTGCTAAAAGCAAACTATTACAGAATAAAGTTTGAAAATGTTGGAACCTTCTCAATCTCT